AAAAAAAAAAGATTTTCAAATAAAAAAGAAAGAAAAAGGAAAAAAATATTGAGATGATTGCAACATTTTCATGTCATTGTACTCATGGTGACCTGCGACGGAACCTCAAGAGTTCAGTTGTACACATAATCGAACAAAAATAACAATGAGTTAAATAATATAAAAACAAATCATAAAAAATAAAAACATGGTCAGACTGAGTGGTGAAATGATTTTTGATTGAAAATGAAATTGATTTATTAGCATTGGCAAATTTATGTCCCTGTAAAGCCATCTATAGCATCCTAAAGTTTTCCTCAGATTTACTGCCACCACAACCGGCTCTAGGAGCAGTCAGATGGGAACACCAGGCCAAATTTACCAGCAGCAATCCAAGAGTTCTCCACCCACAGAGCATTGTTTGAATTCACAGATGGCTTCCATTCGTTTTTGGTTACTGCCAGCAGCAGGAGCGTACCTAAAGCAGCAAGGGATGGAGGACACGGCCAGTAGTCGGTCTCGATCTTTGGTGTTTCGTCCGGCTGGGGGGCGTGGGCAGCGGGGAACTTGGATGATTTGATGATGTCATCAGCGGACTTGCTTTGGGCTGCCAGGGCAGCTGAATCTGAATCGGTATTTTGGGGGAACTGGACTATCAGTGACGGACTCTCATAGGCTGGCAATAAGTTTAGTGCTGGCCATTCAGTTCAAAGCATTTCAGGATTTTTATGTGTAAAAAATCAGATAAATTGGCATAATGCAATTAATCAATTAGTTTTTTTTTGTTTTTTTTTGAGTAAAACACCAGTAAGGTGTATTCAGAGACAGTATCAAAAGCTTTGAATGTAAATGGCCAGTACTGCATTTAGTACAGGACAGTATAAAGTGGATAGAGCACACATGCTACTGCAAATGTATAGATTTTTATAATATTAAGCAAGCGGGAAAATTTTGATATATGAACTGTAGTTTGAAACCGGTAAACACAACTGTTCAAAAGGTGCCGTTCAGTTTACTGAAACTAGCCTAATGTGAAGATTTGCAGAGTATGCAAGATAGAGACCAAAGCAGAGTCATCTTAGGTGTCAGTGAATTTTGTTATGGGATCTTGCAGGCAATAACATCATGCAATTAGAAGGCAGAAAAGTGGATAGAGCACACATGCTACTACAAATGTATAGATTTTTATAATATTAAGCAAGCAGAAAAATGTAGATATATGAACTGTAGTTTGAAACCGGTAAACACAACCGTTCAAAAGGTGCCGTTCAGTTTACTGAAACTAGCCTAATGTGAAGATTTGCAGAGTATGCAAGATAGAGACCAAAGCAGAGTCATCTTAGGTGTCAGTGAATTTTGTTATGGGATCTTGCAGGCAATAACATCATGCAATTAGAAGGCAGAATCAAAGTTTTATGGCAGTTGTTAAAGAAGGAGGATTTTAGTTTCTTGCCGTAGGCGAATCGGTTGTGAGGAAGCGATTAAAGAAAAAGAAAGAGTCTCAAAAATGAGAAAAGTTTATGATGTCAAATGGTACTTACATGTGAACATAGGATGTGATCATAGCATCATAATCACAAATTAATGGATGAAGCCAACACACATAAACAAACATATAAATATAAATAATAAAAATAATTGTCAGAAATCATGCTTGCGGACACACCATAATGACAGGCACCAAAAAACAAAACAAAAAAACAAACAGTTTTTGCCGTGTAAAATAAATCTTTTTTAGATAGATAGATAGATAGATAGATAGATAGATGATAGATAGATAGATAGATAGCAGAGTAGATAGAATAAGCTTAAAATTTGAAGCAACTATACCATGCTGTTTGTAGATTGGTGGTTTTCTATACATGTTAATGCCTTGGTCTGTGAATTAGAAAATAAAGATCTAGTTTTAACAACACATTTTTAATACCTCCTCAATCACAAATAAGACACTCCAATCGAATCAGTTATGATCATGATCTGGGGAAATGCGAAAGTATGACCAAAATTTCTGAATCATTTGTGGCAGTACGTGAACTCAGCATAAGAGGTAAACAAAATCTACAATCAAAACAATAAAAAAGAAAAAGCATAGATGCATTATGGAAGGGATTGAAATGAAAGAATTGAGGGAGAGAGAGACAGCGGATAAAACTCTCTAGAGAAGAAAAAACAGGGAGATGATGCTCCGGCTCCTACCTGGGATGTGGAAATGTTTAGGGGTCAGAGAGAGAGTCGGGGTGGCCGGCCGAGAGGAAAGAGGAGAACTCCGGCCACTGGATGGCTCAGTGCCTCCAAACAAGAAGAGCAGAATAAGCGGGAGAAAGAAAAGAACATAAAATGAAGGAAAGAAAAAGAGAATAATGCCTGAATAAATCTTCACTGTCGGAAAGATGGACGAACAGAAAAGGGCTTCAACAGAGAGGTGACAGAGAGACGGACTGGACTGTGTGGGTCGGCCCCACGGAAGAGAACAGGTGTTAAAGGACATACAGATTGGAAAAGGAGAAATGCCTCAGGAAAGCAGCATGCAAAAACTTCACAATCATGAACACGGTAACATTCACCACCACAGTAAAAAGATATGTGTAAAATTCACACTGCTAAGACGACTTTGTCTGATGATAACACGACTGAATATCCTTTAAAGCAGGGGTCACCAAACTCGGTCCTGGAGGGCCAGTGTCCTGCAGAGTTTAGCTCCAACCCTAATCAAACACACCTGAACCAGCTAATCAAGGTCTTGCTAGGTACACTTGAAACTGCCAGGCAGGTGTGTTGAGGCAAGTTGGAGCTAAACTCTGCAGGACACCGACCCTCCAGGACCGAGTTTGGCGACTCCTGCTTTAAAGGGTTACTTTTTGCCTGTGAGAAAACAAATATAAGCATGCAACATGAACATGTTCCAAAAACTAGTGAGCTGTCTACATAGACAGCATTTCAAGACATCACATGCACTCCCCCTGCTGTTACAAAAGGTAAGAATCTATGTCAAGTATATCCCCCAAATTATTATTATTTTTATAATAATAATAATGAAAAATATTATTATAATTATTTGGGGGATATGCTTAATTTGTCATGAAAAATTATATAAAAGATAGACATGCAAATGTATAAAACACCCAGATGTTATAAAATGTTTAAAACACCCAGAATTACTGGTGTTTTAAAATACAAGTTTCATTTCAGTTAGGTTGCCACCTTAAGAAGGCTATGTAGACCGTAAACAGCAAGGCAACTCACTATGTTTTGGAACAGAGTTATTAGTATAAGAGTATTAGTGATGTCACAGTGACTTGATTAAATGTTGGTTAATGAGCTGGCATATAACTGGTGGTTAATTAACTGTCAAATACACCAAATTCTGAATGGTCAAAACACAGGACCAGCATGCTTCTGAACTGCCACGGGCACCGAATTGCTCTACACAGAGTCAACAACAGCCATGAAGCCAAGACATACCTATGCAGAAAGAATCTGTGGAGAGGACAGAGGGACATTACACACATGAGCATGTGATTAGTAAACTGCATTAGCAACTTGCATTAGATGTGCTTCAGTTGGATTTACATATCAAAAGCAGCCCTTGACCTCATAAGGTTGCCATTCAAGCATTTCAACTCCAGGACTTAGGAATTTCTCAAACAGAGCCGGCAAAAGCACAGCTTTACAAGCTAAAAAGTCACAGTCAAGACATTTTAGCAGGCCTGAATCAGAGGAGGGGGGTGGATTTGTGTCTACGGAACAATATTGACACTGGGAACGAGGAGAAGAGGTTGGGCAATGGGGAGTGGAGAGGCCTTACCTTTGTTATGGGGGAGGAAGTGATGTCGGAAAGGGGAGGTAGGGCGCGTGTCGCTGGAGCGCAAAGAGGAGCAGAGCTTCAGCATTCCTGCCGGCCGCTCAGAGAAGAGGAAGAGGAACAGAGGAGGAGCATGAAGGAAAAAAGAGGATGCAATGAGCACATGTGAGCAGAGGAGGGAGGCAGGTTACAAGCTCAGGAGGAAACGGAAAGCAAGAAAAGGCAACGCGAGGCCAAAATGTTGTAAGGAGATCTCGCTCATCCATACACTCCGCTGGAATCCTAAAGAAGAAGGATTTGGATCATTTCATTTGACTCACCTGGTCTGTGGAAGTGCTGGGGTGACTTGGACAGAGAGGGTATATAGTTATGGCGGTGGTAAACCGGAGAACCGATGGAGCCCTGACTGGTGGATCTTTGTATGATGCGCTCCCTCATGTCATAACAACCCTACGGTAGACATGCACACACAACATCACATATTGGAAGGTTCAAAACACATTCACATTACTAAATGCATTAAAGGGACCCAAAAATGAAAATTCTGTCATCATTTACTCACCTTTTAGATATCTTGAAGAATGTTGGTGACCAAACAGTTTTAGTCCCCATTGACTTTCATTCTAATTTTAGACCATATTATGCAAGTCAGCTAAAACTGTTTGGTTACCAACATTCTTCAAAATATCTTATTTTGTGTTAAAGAATGAGGGTGGCTAAATGATGACAGAACTTTTATTTTTGGGTGGACTATGTTTTCAAGACATGGTTTAATGAACATGTACTATTGGCTCTAGTGTAGGGGTGTCAAACTCAATTCCTGGAGGGCCAGAGCCCTGCAGAGTTTAGATTCAACTCTAATTAAACACACCTGATCCAAATAATCAAGTCGTTCAGGCTTATTTGAAAACTACATGGTATGTGTGTTGGCGCAGGGTTGGAACAAGGCTCCGGCCCTCCAGGAATTGAGTTTGACACCCCTGCCTAGAGTAATAAAGAAAACTAAGCATTATAAACAGCCTCTAACCTCAGCGGATGGGGTGGGAGACAGTGTTCTTGGAGACTGAAACAGAACAGGAACAAAAGCTCTATGTAAGTATGCATCAGAATCAGTACTAAAAGGTGGATAGGAGACTGTATGCTAGATAGAGCAGGTCAAAAAAGCAAATAATACGATTAGGAGCAGGAAGTTAAATCATGCCACTGCCTTTTATGCTTTTTAAGGTTTTGTATATTAGGCTGTTTATATATTAGTTGTTTTATGGGTGAATGTCACAAAACTGTTCACCTCAAAGTTAAAAGAACAAAATAAGAAATGAGATACACTAAATTTAATTAGAAATTGTTTTAAGTGTTTGGAAAAGCCTCCAAGGCTGCATTTATTTGACCAAAATTACAGTAAAAAAAAAAAAAACTATTTAATTAATTAAAATTTAAAATAACTTTTTCTATTTTAATATATTTTAAAAAGTGATTTATTCCTGAGATGCAAAGCTGAATTTTCAGCAGCCATTACTCAAGTCTTCAGTGTCACACGATCCAAATATGCTGAAAATAAACAATTCAAATATGCTGATTTGATGCTCAAGAATCATTTATTATTATCAATGTTGAATAAATTAATTTTCCTTTTTTCATTCAGGGTTCTTTGGTGAATAAAAGGTTTAAAAGAACAGCATTTAATTGAAATAGATTTTATGTAAAAATGTAAAAACCTGTCACTTTTGATCAATTAAATGCATCATTCTTGCTGAATAAAAGATGAATTTGTTTTAAATAAAATCTTATTGAGCTTTTGAATACAACAAAATACAAAACAATCCAAAAAATCATAATAAGCTTCATTTCAGCTGTAGCTGGGACAATGACAGACATACAGACAGACATACATTACAAACATGAACGCACACTCCAACAGGACACTTTTGAGAGTTTGCCATGAGGACTTCTTCCAGTGCTCAAGAGTCAGCTGAAGCTCAGTACCATCTTCAGGATGAGTACATTTAAGAGAGAGAAAATTGTGGCCACAGCTGTGGCAGGGTTCAGAGAGAGGTCACTGACAACTTACTGTTTCTGCAGACAATGAGGAGGGGTCTTGTGGCAGGGTCTGGGAATGTGGACAGAATTAAAATCACTAAAAATAACATTATGTTATGCGTCATGGAAACAGCTTTGTTTTCTGTGACCCAACATGCATTGGATGATGTTTTAAATTAAATGAATCTAATGAAGGTGAAAGAAGAATTGCAAAAAGGCACTTGAAGTGTTTGTTTTGAATGTTAGATGCTAATGTTATGCTGAAGCCTAGATTGAGAAGTGACACAGATCGGATGTATGTTTTCTGGGAGAATCATATCAGTTCATTGAGAATGAGCATGAATGTACACCATTGCCATGGCACACATGGATGGATTCTTCAGAATTTAATTGGGTGCTTGAGTGTACACACTTAAGAGTTCAGAAAGCGGTCAATGAGATGAGAGAAACTAGGTGTAAGAGGCATCAGATGTTCATGCTTATTTGATTAGGTAAGGCTTGTAAATGAATATGTTAGTTGTGTTCTTCTTAGTTTGGGTTGGTAATCCACAAACTAATTGGTTATGTCAGTGGCCTTATTTCTATCCTGCTCACACTTACTGTGGTTCTGCCTCTGGGAGGGCTGCCACCTGAGGCTTTGACAGGCTGTATGGGAGGAAAGGGGTTGAGTGTGGTTACTCTATGAACCTGTCGGTGACTCAAGAATATGGTATGTATTAAAGGTATATTCTTGGTCGTTTTCAACTTGATTAGCACAGACAGTAATTTTGTTAACTGTTAAAACACTTACAATGGAAGTCTATTTGGCTAGTGGGCTGCACTATTAAGAAAATAATCTACGACATTCTTTCGAAAGTGTTAGCATAAAACTGGTGTGATAAAATTGTTTACTGACCCTTTCTTTGAGGCTATTTCTGCTATGACATACATGTCATAAACTCATGTCATGACCAACTAAAAAAGTAAACCCAGATAGTTGGTCTTGGTCTTGTTTTCCAGTGAAAATATCTATACACCAAACAAGATTTAGGGTAAGTATTTATTTCTTTTTCTTTTTTCTTTAAAGAAATTAATACTTTTATTTAGAAGGGATGCATTATATTGATCAAATGTGACAAATGCTGTTCTTTTTCATTTTAGATTTTCAATTTAAAAAATGTATCACAGTTTCCACAAAAATATTAAGCAGCACAACTGTTTCCTTATTAATAATAAGAAGAAATGTTACTTTAGCATCAAATCAGCATATTAAAATTATTTCTACTGGAGTGATGGTTGCTGAAAATTCAGCTTTGGCATCACGGGAAAAAAATACATTTTAAAATAGAAAACTGAAAGTTAATTGTTAATGTTATGTCACAATATTGCTACTTTTATTGATTGTTCTTTCTTCTTCTTCTTCTTTTTCTTTTTTTTAATCAAATCAATGCAGCCTTTGTGAGAAATTTCTTTCAGGAACATTAAAAATGAAATGATTTCAGGAACATTACCAATGACATTTTTGAACGGTATGGTGTAATTGCTGTAATTTTTATTTTATTTTATTGTGTTGCAATGCATAACCAAAATTTCCTACACCTAAAAAGTAGTCCCTCCTGATGATTTATACAACATAACAGCCAACAAAAATTTACATTTCTAGTTAATAATTCATGTAAGAGCAAACAATAATGTGAACTTCACATTTCTACTACTTATAGCACCCCGGCCCATTGCTTGATAGACTTATATTGTAAGTGTGTACTTGTAAATACATTTTCTGTTTGTTTATACACAGTCAAGGACAAGTCTAAATGATTGGCTTTGGTAATCAACCACAGATGAAGATGAAAAAACCCGGAAATATCCCTTTAACACATCTTCATCACCGCAGATTGTCTGAGATTTTGATTATAGTCACCAGGTAGCGCTGTGACACTGCTGTCTCTACACAGAGAAGGCGCACAGGCGTTTTCAGGTACAGCAGAACAATGTTTAATAGACAAAGGGAACAAGAGCAGTCACAGAGAATAAAAAACACATCTCTCATATTCTTTTCATGCATAGACATAAAGCTAACATGTTGACAGGAATACATGCAATGTACATGATCACATACAGAGAAATGAGCAAATACACACACTTGCTCACATCTGCTCTGTCTGTGGCCTGAGAGCCTCAACCAATAGTGTTTTTTGGGACACTAATGGGATCATGGGGTCAGAGAGGTATTATGGTTACTGTGATAGGGAACTGGGGATGGGACCATATTATCACAAAGATGGAGCATTGGCAGAGTTGGGTCTGTTATATAGCGGTAGTCTGGTAGCAACTAGGTGGCCAAAGTGGCTAAAACCCATGTGCAGTTTTGGTAATCAAGACTAGACCAGTGGTTCTAAACCAGCGGGCCCGAGGCCCATTAGAGGGCCTCAGCAAATTTCCAAGGGGGCCGCAGGAAGACTTTAATGTATTGAAATTAATAAATTACTATTAATATATATAAATCAAATTTATAGTTGTAAAAATAAACATGAAATCAAGATGTAGCCTATATACTATTTTACATCTAAATCTATTTTCACTCAATAGCTTGTTTTTATTGAAGAACATAACTTCTGTAACAAAATGAATTATGGTTAATTAATTTATTTAACAAATGTAATTTAATATATCAATAAAACTTTTTTCATAATTGCATAATTGCTATTGTTTTTATTAAAGAATATACAGTTCTGAAACACAGAACAATTTCTGGAATCACAAAATTAATTGTGGTTAAGTTAATATATTTAGTAAGCCAAATTAATTTATATAACAATACAAAAGTTTAAAAACAAGCTTTGTCATAATTACATAATTAACCAAATTTTACATCTATATATTTATTTTTTATCCATATTGTTTTTGAAGAACACACCATTCTGGAATACAGAATATTAATTCTGGAATAACAAAATGAATGTTGGTTAATTTATTTAATTCATTAACTTTTTATTAATTTATTTAATTAACCATGTGAATTAATTCAATATATCAATAAAAAAAGTTTTAAAACTCTGTCATAATTACAGTTTGAAATACTATCATATTATATTCACAAACGCTAATATGACTTAGCGTATATGAAGTGGGCCTTCTAATATTGTGCTGTACGGTGGAGGCCCTAGAGTTAAAAAGGTTGAGAACCACTAGACTAGACTGTCCAGATCTCCAAATTGAAGTACAAGGATGTTAAACGTATAGAGTATGGCTGTTCACAAAATTTTAGGCAGGGGCGCTGTCTGATTTGAGGTAAAACAGCTAAAGTTGACTTTTTATGAAAGCCACACCTAGTCCAAAAAATGAGAATAAATTTATAAACATAAATCGGTGACATTATAATTTCTACACAGCCATACAGTGGCTATTCATATCATATTAGGTCATAAAAGCACATCGCTTGTTTATTAGAAAGACACTAAAAGTTTACGATTCGGATTACCTCTCCGGGGCTGCGCCTTCCTTGTCTTTCCAGGGTGGAGGAGGTGGAATGGAGAGACTCATAGGATATCATGTCTGGACGCTCTATGTCATAAATGGCCTTGACTCTGGGGATGGCTGCTAGGTCCTTGTAATCAATAATCTCATTGTCTACTTTTGCCTGGAGGAAGGAGAGGATGAGGGACAGGGAGGGAGGGGACACATAAGTGGAGAAACACAGGGAGAAAAGGTGTTGATGAGGAAGAGGTCAGGGCACAGGTGAAAGGTCATCCATATCACATCCAAACAGAGCTACAGCTCTCACAAAGGTCATCACACAGGGTGAACATACACTGTGGAAAGATGAACGCTGTTGTTTTTGGAGGCATGCTTATGAGAGAAGCTACCCGGCTTAACATTTGCTGAACAGTGTTATTGTAAATGTTTCTCTAAATTTGGTAACATGCTAAAATTATGCTACATATATTAAATACAAGGCGAAGGCAAAGAGTGGAAAGAAGGTGAAGCAAACTCCTGTGCTTTTCCTGCATGTTTTTTTCTTAAACATTGACCCTGAAGTATAGCAGCATCAGTATCCGTTGTGGATTGAGTGGTAATATCTGACAGACTCTGGAAACGATTGGGGGCGCCGATGTGTGGGACTCACATAGATGGTATGACCTGGAGATCCAGGGATGCTCGAGCCAGGTCTCGAACAGATACTCTCAGACGATGACCTCGTGGGCTGCGGGACAACGAGATGTTGTGTTAGCAATAAGCTGAAAACAAATACACACACGTATTCCTAAACACACTCATAGATGCCAGTGGGAAGCTTAAAGGGGTAGCTCAGCTAAAAATGAACGTTTTGTCAACAGTTACTTATTCTCATGTCATTCCAAATCTATATGACTTTCATTTTTCCATGAAACAGAAAAGGAGAAAGTCTGAAGGATGTTCACGCTGCTCTTTTTCATGAAATGGAAGTGAATGGAGACTGAGGCTTTCGAGCTACAAAAGAGGACCATACAATGTCAAAGTAAATCATGCACTATTTCAAGTCTTCAAAAGCCATACAATAGGTTTTTTGTGAGGAACATGCTGAAATTTAAGTTGTTATTTTAATGTTTTTGGATGCTTAATTGTATGATAATTGCAACTATATGTACTTTTGAGTATTTTTACTCACTTAAGTATATCTTTAAATGTAATTTCTTAATTATTTTTATTTTCTTAGATAGTTTCTTATATCTGATGAATACTGATGAAATGTACTGACATGGTAAACTAAAATATAATGTAATTTTTATTAAAACTTGTATATCACGTATTTAAATATATTTGTTATTACAAATTTGTAACGATGATGACCTAAGTGTGTTATGAAACAGTCATGAAAGTGTACTGTCATTAAGTGGCCTTTTATTTCATTAATATTATATTATCTGAATGTGCATTTTTTAAAAATGTACCTTTAAGATTTGAAGTACACTATAAATGCATGTTCAGTCTAACTAAGCACACTTCTTTTTCACAAGGGAAGTCATACAGCTTTCAAAGACATGAGGATGAATGACGAGAGTAAATGATGACAAAATTTTTATTTTTGGGTGAAGGAGGCACTAATTTTTTAGCTTTCATTCAGCACAAATTAGAAAGCTACAGGATTTCCAGCTCATATTGCCTCATACTCCAATGCAAGCCTTCCCAAGATGCATTCTGTTTCATATCATACAATATGCAGCCATGGCAGCCAATCCCTCAGATATGACTATAGGTCATCAAAAACACCAGAATTGGGCGACCTTAGAAAGAATATTCTGTATAAGTGGCCAGTTCTGTTTGCTACATTGTGAGCTCATATCTGAGATGGTTCTGCACGAAGAGTCAAACAGCGGTCATTCCTGTAATGGTGAATGGAGCGCTGGAGGACTTGAGCCACATGCCTGCAGTGGTGAAAAGCGTAATGATTCACACACAGGCTGTTATGGGGAAGTTGGCAAGGGTGGAAAGCCCTCTGCTGGTGGGTGACTGCAAAGGCAAGAGCCGCAAAACACACTCAGGGTTCTCCAATCTGCTGCCAGAAGCCGAATACAGTACCTGCCTTTCTGATTGGTGCAGAGATGTTACTGAGGGTGGAAGGGGCTGTGAAGGGAGGAAAAGGCATTACAGGATATGACATCACACTCAACAAAACACCTGAATCATCCATCATACTCAGCGGTCATCTAACTCAAGCACTTCATCCATAGCCACCTACTCGCAGCCTTGCTTGCTATATTATGCATGCAGGCAGATCCTGATTTTGTGGGACAAAAGGTTATTTTTTGTGAATTCATAACATTGTGATTATGACCTAACTTGCAGAAGGAGAGAGCAAGCACATTCAGTCTTGCTGTGGGGGATGTAAGTTAACTAATATGAAGCTAAAAAACACACAGCAGTTAAGTCTTGCTTCGAAATAAAGCAGGACTCTCTGAGAAAGTTGAGTGAGCCGGAAGCATTGCAGTTTGGAGGGAGTGCAGAGCAGAAGACTGCAAACCTCACGACTGCCCAGGGGATGCCGGCCCAGTCGAGAGCCACCTGGGCCCCGGCTCTGAATCTGAGACTGGGGGTAAAAGATATCAAACGGACTGGGTTTTCCTTTAGGATGCTGCCAAGCTGCCTAAGGGGGAGAATCACAACAGAATGGACAAAATACACACTGACAAACACACACATAGATTCTCTTTTTGTGATTCAGATGTAACGCTTCAGCTAGAGCACCTGAGACCTAATTTTAACCTTGGAGTCACTTGGGGAAGTTTTAAAAAGCAATTTGAAGAATGTGAGCATTTTAAACATCTCCCAGTGTTTTGTAGACTGTTGTTTCTGGCAATAATATGAGGGAGGAGCTCAGCAAAGTTTTCTCTTTCAGAGAGAGAGAGAGAGACAGGGCTGATTAAGTGACTGACTCACTCTGTACTTCTCTTCCACTCTACTGTTGTTCTTACAGTCTGGATGCCATACTGTAGAACCTGAGAGATTTTAACAACAAAACCAGCTGTATGTGTAGACATGTGGCAACATTATGTAGACATGTGGCAAAATTATGGCAACAGAGTAGTAAAAATACATGCAACATCCATGAACATCCAATAGGAAATGAAATCTTTCAACCCAGTTAACAGCTTATGTAACAATTAGCTTGAACTTCAACCCTGTTACCAAAGTTATCATAAGAAAAATGACCAAACAAATATTTTTCTTTAATTTATGGGAAATATAATTTTAGCAATAACTACTGTTTTTGAATTATTTCATCTGATTTTCTAAAATAATAAAATAATCTATATTTAGACATGTCAACTAGTTAGTTTCAAAAGTTTCAAGTGTTTGACCCCAAACCTTTGAACGTTAGTGTAGCATACCAGTCATAGCTAAAGGTGCAGTACATTCCACATAATATGGTGGTTTATGTGTGTATCATCACTCTAGCACACAGCTGTAAGTCATCTGCAATACTGTTTCATCATTCTGCTGCTTTCAGTTAGCTCTGGGAATGCTGATGAGCCCTGCTTTTCTGACATCTCTCTTAAAAACCCTCTTTCTTGAGGCAACACTTTGTATTATTGCCCTTTTTCTTCTTTTTGATTTGTATCCTTTATCTGTTATCTGATATCTGTTATCAGATATTACTTTATCTGTTGTCTCTCTTTCTTTATTGTTTTTATTCCTTCTTAAAAGCATAGTTCATCCAAAACATTTGCATTCTGTCATCGTTTACTGTACTAAGCCTCATGCTATTCCAAACTTATATGACTTTCTTTTTTTCTGTGCATGGAACACAATACGAGATATTTTCTTTTTCATTCAATAAAAGTGAATTAGGATTGAAGCTGCTAAAATGACAACAACAAAAAACAAAACAAAAAAACAACAGTATCATTATCATAAAAGCAGCCCATTCTTCAAGTCTTGCCAATATGATAGTTTTGCATGAAAAACTACCTTTATAATATTTTTTATAGCGCATTTTGGAGCTTAACAAAGAGTAGCCAGAATATTCTTTACAATATCTTCCGCTGTGTTTCATGGAAATATTTTGCTAAAATAAAGAAATCAGCTGTATTTACACATGTACCAAATCATGGAAGAACAGATTATAAAACAACCCATATAATATTTAGTTTGAATTTCAACCATGTTACCAGAGTTACGGTAAGAATTTTTTATATTTATGGGAAATATAAATCTAACAATAACTACTATTTTTTTTTCTCCTGTGTTTCATGGAAAAAAAGAAAAGTCAAAAAGGTTTGGAATAGGATGAGTGAATTGTTCCTAAAAAAAAAAGAAAGAAGAGGATTTGCTCTTTTTCTCTTTGAAATTTATATCAAATGTTCACAGGAGCTATACTGCACCAGAAAACCTAAAGCTTTGTTTATCTCTTCTGCTTCTCAAAACAATTCAATTGTTTTGTTGTTCCTCTATCAGCTGGAGTTCTGATTGTTGAGGAGGGAGTTGCCCATTTGGCTCCTCTGCAGGGGAAACATCCCAAGGTCCTCTGCTGACTTGAACTATGAGGCAATGCAGCTGAAACGCATGATTTCACACAGATGTGACCCCCGCGGCTCCCGGGCCTCCTCGCCATGGCAACAAGGCCATGTAACAGTTTTCCAGTAAACAAACCAGAGTGACAACATGTTCTACCTCTCTGTGTAGCGCTCTGTCTGAGACAGACGGCTAGCAGTCATTTCCTATTGCATCACAAGAAGCCAACACAGAAAACATAGAGCAGTGAACTCTGAAGAAAGGGGCCAAGAACAGACCACGCCTCTGCTTCAGCCCAGATGGAGGGGTGTGGACAGAAGACAGAGCCAGAGAGAGGGAGGGAAACGGGGATGAAGAGAAAAAGAGAAAGTGCTTGGATAGATGTATATTATTTTGGATGCTGGTCCCATGCATGGAATGTTAATGTGCAGCTGACCCTACTAGGTTGTTTATCCATCATAACCAGCAAGACTTTATTGAACTAAAAGCACTATACTGAAAAAAACTGCTTTTGCTGATCTTAGTTGGTTTCCAATCCCAGCTAAAATAGTGTTCAGATAATCTAACTACCTCCCAATCTGGCCAAAACAATGTTCAGATGGTTTAGCTAGTCAGCCAGCTGCTTTCCTAGCTTAACATGGGCCAAAAATTTGTCTCAACCCATCAAACCAGACCAGCCTAACCAGTGCAAAACCAGGTGAGTTGGCCAGGCTGGTCACTGCATGATTCTAGAATGGACATTTTTACTGCTCTAGCATTTGCAGTGTGTGTATGAATGCCAGTAGGAGTGACTTTCATCTGTAGTCAGTAACATAACCCCGTTTTGTATTGCCTGACTGTATTGTTGTGTATATCTTCTCTTCTAGTTGAACTAAAACACTCCACTCCACACTCCACTGAGGAAAGAGCCAGACAAGTGAAACTGACAAGGTTCTGTTTGCGGAACAGAAAAACAGAAAAACCAAACCCTGTAAACAAAACCCAACAGTCACAAGTGTAAAAAAGAGAAAGATAATACACCCAAAAGAAAAGAAAAACACAAATGAGTTCTCTTTAATATAACAATCATTGTTCCTGGACAGCAATAAGATTGATAATATTTATAGACTGATAATTCCCCATACACTTGTGCCTCTAGAAGTTCAGAAAAGATCACAACGTCACAAATTGTGCTCAGATTTAATAGTTAATATAAGATATTTGAAAGAAGTTATCTCCAAGGCTGCATTTTCTTGATCAAAATTGAGTAAAAACAGTAATATTACTAAATATTATTACTATTTTAAATGTTCTATTTTATTATATTTAAAAATATTTATTAATTATAATAATTCATTCCCGTAAGAACAAAGCTGAATTTTCAGCGGCCATTACACCAGTCTTCAGTGTCACATGATCCTTCAGAAATCATTTTAATATGCTGATTTGGTGCTAAAGAAACATTGTTTATTATCATCAATGTTTAAAACAGTTGTGCTACTTTTTGAAGAAAATGTGATACATTTATTTTAGGATTCTTTGTTGAATAGAAAGTTTACTGTCACCTTTGATGAATTGAATGCATCTTTGCTGAATAAAAATACAAATTTATTTTTTTTTTAAATTCACTGACAACAAACTTTTGAATGTTTGAAAGTCTGCACTCAAAAGTCAGAACTCTTCACATAAAATTCTTCTGAAGCCAAATTATGTGAGCTATGCTATCCATATTTAATTTATAGCTCTGTAGTCTTACTCTGTCAACTATTTCATTTCCCATTTGCATCTATTTTTATTTCTCTTAATTAAAAAAAAAAAACTCCATTAGGTCTCATGACCTTCAAAAGAACAACCTCTGCGCAAGTTCCCTCCGGGTGTCTAGTATACTCTGGATATGCATGTGTGTGTGTGTGTGTGTGTGTGGTGAGATACTGCAGGGCCAGAGACTTGTCATTTCTGTATAGCCACATTAGACACTTATTGGAGAGGTTTAATGATAGTGAAAATTCATTGCAGTTAAATAACTTATTCACGGTTGACATATAGAAGCTGACAGCCCAGAGTAATCAAGCTAACACTGAGCAAAATAGCATGTGTGAGCATCTGTTAACAACATAAATGTTTAATACACAGAAAACAAACTGCTAACTGCAAAGTCTTAATTCATAACCAAACCTAAAATAACAGAGTTCCACAACAATTTTTTTAAGCACTATTCGTCCCTCATCAAATCTGAATGGCCTCCTTGGCACGAGCGCGATGCCATCTGCAGACCAGCGGCATCTGTTGCTCTCAACATTACATCGAGATTCTACACATATCTGCTTGGATTTATATAGCCAGAGAGCTGGTTTTGATCTCCTGTGCTCACACATGCATAAGATTCCAGTGCACTTCCTTTCCACCATCTGTGGCTGCACAGATCCCCATAAACACAACTAGTCTACTTGAGGGTACAAGTGCAAACAGACTGTGTATGCGAGAGCACTGATGAGCACCAGTAACTAATAGACTGTTGACAGGTCAGTATAATCAGGATGACAAAGTTTGACCATGATCACCCAAACAGCAAAGAAAAAGCTCTGAAGTATTTACACTCTGTTGATAAACACCATCCGCACGCTTATATTACAAGTTGCTCCTAAAACCGACCAGATCACACATTGTGACATAACTGCAAACATGTTTGTCAAGTGCTTTAAAAGAAAAAATGAGAAATCGCCTCTGAAACAGTTTAGAAACATTACCTCCGGCAGGCTGCTCGTGTGGCACCCCAGCTCTGCAACTTTACGGTTAAAATCACTTTTGTCACTTGCACTCTCTTGTTCGAGAGAACTCCTAAATTCCCCTTCAGTTCCTCACGTTTTCCCTTTGACTTTTCTTGAGAATTTTCCTAAATTCCCCCCTCTTTATCTCACCGCTCTCCCACCCTATCAGAGGGGCCTGGCCTCAAAGGGGCCGTCCCGTGTTCAATAGCTGGGCGGGACCTTGGAATCCAGCCAACGGTGCTGCTTTGCTCTATTCCCAGTGGGCCGGTGTCAGTTCTAAAATGTTTGATGAATGGAGAAATGATGTAAGTTCAGCCATGTTGTTGGATGTTGAGATGTGTGTGTGGACATGGGTCAGACTAACGACTCCACTCTTAGGGGATCCAGATGTTTAGTGGGAGCGGAAGTGTAAGAATCTGGAACACTGACACATACTGACATGACTATAAAACTCTGAACACTGAAAATCCACAAGAGACCATTTTAATATCCATAAGGCAAGAAAACTCACAACAGAGATCTCAGTGATATCTCATATGTGTCTTCTAGAAATCAATGGGACTAAAATCAGAGCAAATTATGTCTCCTGCTTCGCAGACTTTTCTCCTGAGAAAATAGACTCATCAGGAAAAAACACAACAATGTTTCAAACTGTGCTCAAATTTGTCAGGATAAGATGTTTTGTTGCAAATAAAAGTCAGAGATTTCAATCTGAACTCAAAGGTTTCTTACCAAATTATCTAGAGACAATATTACCTATGCTGTACTACATATATTCATTTTATGGCTCTTTCTGATATGTCGGTGTTATATCTTTCACTTGGATGCTATAAGTTGCACTGAGTAAATACAGCTGGATCAAACTAAAACAGTGTCCGTCTTCATTTCAGGATGCAATGCAACAAAATGTGATTATTTTAAAAGGGTGCCTCTTTTCTATACCCACTGTATGTCTATACTGTATGTCAACAATTTGTGTGATTTACTTAATGAAGTGTATGAGAAGTACCTGAGACAAAGTAAATACTTCATAAATGAGAAATGAAACTTGCTGTAGGTTGAAAAAATACACTACTTTTCAAAAGTTTGGGGTTGGTAAAAACAGTAATATTGTGATATATTTTTACAGAAATTATTTTAATATGCTGATTTGGTGCTCAGGAAATGTTGAAAACAGACGCTGCTTAATAATGTTGTGGAAACCACAATGTTGTGGAAAGTTCAAAAGAACAGCATTTTTTTTAAAACAGAAATTTTTTGTAACATTATAGACATCTTTACTTCACTTTTGATCAACTGAATGTGTTCTTGCTTTGTTTAAGTTTACTGACCCAAATTTCTTATTGGCAGTGTATATAGCATAAAATAATTTTATTACATTGCATTTTATAATATTGCAATATTTTAATAACATTATAAAACAATATTAATATGTCTTGGTACTAAATAAATTCTAAATAGATTAACTTCAACATTTCTTTTGCTTTATCCCCAACGCATTATTATGTGATTAGATTGTTCATGCTACCTTATATATTTTAGAAGGCAATATAATAATGCTGCCTAACTTTTGCAACCACCTTTACATCTGGAGCGCAGCTATGATACCTTAATATGCTGCCTAAATATTATCAGAAGCAGACGAGACGTTCAGTCAATATATGCATACTGGTTACTCACCTCCAGAACTTTCCCTGTGATAAACCGATGACAGGCCTCACACTGCACGCCAAAATGAATCTGGTAGTCTTTCTCACAGTACGGAGAACCATCCCTTAAAAAAGAGAGTAGGACAGTAAGAGAGAGAACAGAGATTTATGTTTTTACTGTATTCTATTTCATCTCAATGAATCAAGGATAAGAGCAATAATTGAATGCTATTAGAAAAGAGGACAGATAAGAGAGGGGGAATTATAGAGAGAGAGAGGTAGGCATGAGATTGCGAGAGATAAAAAAATAATTAAGGCATAGCTCACTTGCTGATGTACTCCCCGCTCAGCACTTTCCCACAGGCCTTGCACTTGAAACAGCCGAGGTGCCACTGGCTGTCCAAGGCCAGAAGAGCCTGACCGTTCTTTATATTCCTGCCACATCCTGCACAGTCTGCAAGAGAGCACACACAGATGCACACATCACACACACATAATGAAAGAACAGCAGCCAGAAAATGACATTTTGACATGTTAATGAGAAGTTGGACAACACATATTAAAGGGCCTTTTTTTTAATAGCCAAAAATATTTAGTTTATCAGCCATCAGCCATGACAAGATTTGCAATTGCTATTCACAAGATATTTAATTTAGCGCCTTTCCTATGATTTTATGATTTTAGTATTATTTACATACTATTATAGAATATATTAATATTTTGAACTTGATTTTATTTTTATATTTTAAATTTTCATATACATTTTAGCAAATATGTTATATGCTTTTGTCACTTTATTATCATTTTTAAATATTATTTTAAAATAATTAAAAAATAAATTTTTTAATCTGTGTAGATTTCAATTATTTTTATTTCAGTTTCAGTTTTTACGAATTTCAGTACTTAAACATATTTATTACAGTTTGTTTTCTTTTCACATTCCTCCAGTTTTTTACGTTTTTCATCTAATATTCATATTTTATTTCAACTTTATTTCAATTACCAAAATCTTTTTTAATAGTTTTAGTTAGCAATAATGATGATACAGTAGGGCAGGCATATTCGGATATGATGCAATTACATTCATATATTTTTAAAGATTTTGGGGTTAATTAGGTGTGCACAAACAATCCTCTCCACTAGATGTCAGTGTCAACTAAAAAAAAACTCCCTTAGTTTTTGAGGCCTGTTGATTTACAACATACAGCACTGAATATTCAGGCTCTCAGAAGTCATTTCAAGCAATGCATATTGTATCAATTAAATTCATGCAGCAATCAATAGTGAATCATCATTATATTTCATGACTAATTGAATAAGAGCCAACAGAACCATTTCTAAAAAGCTGAGCATCTTCTCTCCACAAGCTGGAGCTTCTTCCTGAAGGAACGTGAAGAAATGTAGTTAATATATGTGTAACGTGTGTAAAAGGCTGAGGGATAAAAATAGCTCATGGTTGTCATCTTCTATTTATGTTCCTTGGCTGAAATCCCAAAAGCTTTTTTAAAAAGCAGGGACGGATGCGGAGGGGCGGGGAGGTCCCAGACGCTGCTGATGTTGCTTAAGGCACAATGGTAACCATTGACAGTGAGGAGAGTATATAATGCCCCATGCTGCATCTAGCTCTCTAATGCATCATTTAAGCCTTATCGATCTCTGCCTGCACTGTGTGTGTGCTAGAGACCCGCAGAGAGTATGTGTGTGTGTGTGTGCAATGTGTGTCGAGAAAGAGAAGAAGGGAACGTTTCAGAGAGACCTGTGTTCAATCCACCTGTCATGAGGTTTATCTAAACTCTCAAACTCAGAGCAGGTTTTTAGAAGTGTCAATGCGGTAAAAGCTTCGTGAGGTTTGCCAAAGCAGCATTATCATGGCTCGAAACAATCAGCGCCTTCCAAAAAAAACGTAGCACTTATCTATCTGGGCTAAAGACTTTCATCAGCCTCAAATCATTTCCTGGGGCTCCTGAATGACAAATAATCAGCCAAGCATGACACAAAGATATATTCAGTACGGCTCTTTAAGTTCCTGTCTGTGTGTGTATGTACGGACACTTGCACATATAGGAGAAGAGGAGAAAGATAACTGAGAAAGAGTGAAAGGAAGACAGGAAAGAGAGACAGAATGAGGAAGTGCATGGACACATAGGCAGATTAAAATAAAATTCATGATTATGACTAAAATAGTGATACCATATCGGCAAATATTTAATTGTGCATGCTCATTTTCCCTTTTATTTTTTTTTTACATTAGGATAACATTTGTTATGTTACACTCATTTAAAGTTAACATGGTAAAAAAAATTAATAAATTCATACTGTACATTATAATGCTGTGATGTCTAAAAACACTTGTAGCATACTTATGTAGCATATTATAATTTATTTTATTTGTTCAAAAGTTTGGGGTAGGTAATATTTTTTAATGTTTTTGAAAGAAGTCTGTTATGTTCACCAAATCTGCATTTATTAGATACAAAATTATAGTAAAAACAGCAATATTATGAAATTAATTGATTTTGAAATTGACTTTATTTTACACCAATCTTCATTACTCCAGTCTTCAGTGTCACATGATCCTCCAGAAATTATTCTAATATTATGATCTGGTGCTCAAGTAGCGTATTATTATCAATGCTGAAAACAGTTGTTCTGCTTAATATTTTTGTAGATACATCTTTTCAGAATTCTTTGATGAACAGAGAGTTAAAAAAAACAGCATTTATCTGAAATCATTTGTAACATTGTCTTTATTTACTGTCGCGTTTTATATATATGTTCTTGAATAAGTATTTAATCTTGTTTTTGAACAGTAATGTGTGTGTGTGTGTGTGTGTATCCTGCACCTTTTTTCCACCCAAGCAAAAATTGTCAAACTTCACTAATACTTGGTCTACACAATGTTTTTTTCAATCAACTCAATCCCATGATGCAATGTTTAGAATTACATTAATTCTCTCCTCTGCAACACAGCAGCTATTCATTGCTAAATTGCTCCTGTAATTGTCCATCACCTGATGTTGTTATGTAACAACAACAATTCCCTGCTTTATGACAATTTGAGTTTAATGACTAAAGCCATTTACTATAATAAGGAAATCCCAAGCCTCGGGAAATCGGCACATTCTACACATATGGAGTCCTGACCTGTCAGCATCCATCAGTCTAGAATGTATCAGAAAGCGGAAGCTCAGAGAAAGCGAGTGAGAGAGAATGGGACAACCAGCAGGCACGCAGTTTAAATTACACAAAAAGGACCCCTAATCTGCCGGAGGAGGATGAAGAACTTCCTCAAAGTGAGATAAAAGAGTGAAAGAAATCAAAGAGAGAAAGATTTTAAGGAGATCAGTTTTTCCCTGGTTGACAGCACAGGAATTGGTCTAAGCATCCTGTCAACTCAAGTAACCCTAGAGAAGTCTGAAAAGAAGCAGGGATCCTTATTAAAACAATATATCGGAGAAAATACTTCCCTGTGTAAAAGCCATTGTGGTGTTTGGGTGCTGTGGATGGTTGCCAAGGCATTCCTATGTTGATAACGTACAGTACATGTATTCTGACTGATATAAGCACTGTTATAAGCAAAGTGTTTGTGGTGGTTGTCAGGGTGTTGCTATGCGGTTTCAAATATATTCTGACTGGATTTTAGAGCATTGCTAATAAAGGCTGGAGTGCACTACTCAACCTTTTAAAAATCTGTTTGAAATCTGTTCAAAACCTGTATGAGTTTCTTTCTTCTGTTGAACCAAAGAGTTTCTGGTCCCCATTGACTTCCATAGTATTTTTTTCCACACTACGGTAGTCAATAGGGACCAGCAACTGTTTGGTTACCCACATTCTTTAAAATACTTTTTTTTAAAGAAACTCCTAAAGGTTTGAAACAACTTGAGGGTGAGTAAATGATGACAGAACTTTCATTTTGGGGTGAACTACTCCTTTGAAAAAACTACAAATCCAGACTTCAGATTTTCCAAAATGCATCACATCATGGTTCCTGATATTCCAAACAGTGGATTTAGATGCGGAGGAAACCAAAGCATATAGCTTCTGATGGGATTGAGAGACAGGGAGTTTCCAACTAGCAGCAATGACCTTGAGTCCTGAGCAGTATAAGACCTGTCAACACACGCATAAACTACACAATCTAACACATCTATAAAAGGGGATGATTGTGGCAAGCTGAAATCTGAGTAGGACACTAAAACTTAACCAATAAGCACAAACACACGTGTGTGTGCAAGTGTGGACTCACTACTAGAGGCGCTGATGTCTTTGGGAGTCTGGGAAGTTTGCTGGACGCAGCTCTGGCAGAGACTGTCTTTTCCATTAAACGTGACTCGATCACCAGCGGGAAATGGCCGTCTGGCAACAGAAGAAGGATGCAAAGACATTTAGGCATTTACACTACCATTAAAAAGTTTGGGGTCAGTAATTTTTTTCAAAAAAAGAAATGTATACTTTTATTTTGCAAGGATGCATTAATTGGATCAGAAGTGACAGTAACAACTACAAAAAAAAAATCAATTTCAGATATTCAGATAAATGTTCTTTTGAACTTCCAAAGAATCCTGAAAAAAATGTATCATGGTTTCCACAAAAATATTAAGCAGAACATTAGAATGATTTCTTAAGGATCATGTAACACTGAAGACTGAAGTAATGCTGAAAACTCAGCTTTGTCATCACAGGAATAAATTACATTTTAAAATCTATTAAAATAGAAAAAATATTTTAAATTGTAATAATATTTAACAATATTTTTTCTGGGTTTTTTGTTTTTGTTTATGTGTTGAAGCAGCTTTACAGTGTTAAACAGGAAAATGGCTAATTGACTACTAGTACTAGCTAACTTATTGTGTTAGCAAGTCCAAGGCTAATTCAGCTTTTTCTTCACATACAAATATAAATCATACATGTTTTAATGCGGATGAAATTGGCTTGCTTTTGGTAAACTCTTACTTGCAAACAGTGCAGACAAAACATGTGGGATGGTAGGTCTTCCCAAGAGCAGTGACCACCTCTCCTTCAACAAAATCTCCACAGCCATTACAGCGAGTGCCATGTAGCCTCTGGTAGTCCAGCGTGCATAGGTACTCCCCGTTCTTCATGAAGAAACCACCTTGGGCCAGGTCACAACCGCACACTGAATGTCAATTCAAGAACAAAGAAATCAGAAATTAGAATAGAATTAGGAAGTTTAATGAGATCTAACAGTATAAGACAGTCTTGAGTGAAATCTGAAACACAATGTTGAAACACACACCATCCGCTTCCAAATAAATGACACTTTGTTTGGCTCTCAAACTCAGTAGTCACACTAGTGCGTCTCTTTTGCACTGGGATTTACACATTTTGGTTGCCAGCAAACATAAGGTCAGGGGGCTTATGCACATCTTGGCCAATGTCTGAGGACAAAGGTGAATAAAGAGAGAGTTTGGTACGCTGAAGATTTCATGAGCTTTCAAGACTCTGGCACAAGTTCAGACACTTTATATAGGTCTGCATGAATAGGTATGTTAGGTCTGTGTCCTCTTGGCAAGCGTGTCTATGTGGAATCCTGCCGTCACACATGCCAGATCTGTCTGAAAGCTCCTTGGCAGACTAAGACTGATATTTAACAGCTTGTTTAGCGTCACATGATACCCCCTTCTCAACAAGCCCCCTTTTTTCTCACTTCCTCTCAGTCCTTTTCTCTCTCTCTATCTGTTTTTCTCTGTCTATCCTAATACATTCCAACCTGTAAATATATAAGAGGCACAGTTGTTCACCATTTTATGAAATGGAGTGTACATTTCACAGGAAAATATGGGCAAAATGGAGAAGAAACAGCATATGATGCAGACCACATTCAAACACCCATCTCCGGTTTTAGCACCACTGCTTAATGTGATTAAATTAAATATTTACTTGAAGTTCTGCATATTTATATTATATAATTTAATAATTTAACAACATATTTGCCTGTTCACAGTTCTCTCATGTAAAAAATCTTATTTTTATTACCTATTACTTATTATCTATTACTAGTTTATAACCTTACTAACTATTAATAATTTTATTTTTCTCATCTTATTTTTATTAAGTAATTTATTTTTGATTATTTTTATTTTTATTAATTTATTTTAATTTTATATTTTTATCATTTAACCTAGCAATTCCTTCACAAACTCCAGTTTGGGAAACCTGCACTAGGCTAAATTTCAGCACCTCTGTGACTCATTATTATACCTTACGGTTTCATGGACTTTATTAATGTGTGACCATTTTTTTAAGCAAATTCACTTCAAATTGTTTTCTCACATTTTAATGCAAAAAATAAAAAATAAAAAAATTTAACATTTTGATATGAATATTTTGAAACAAAGATATGTTTTTTTTCTATGTTTTTCCATCATCTTGTGATATGGCATCAGGCCAAATCAAAGGTCATCACTGGCCAACTTTGGCCACTGGGCCCTGGTTTGGGCATCTCTGATTTATAGAAATAACAAACAACACAAAATAGTACATATGTATTCATCTCTAGTTAGTAAAAGTGGCGCAAATATAGTTTGATTGATAATATAGCTAAGGAGATGCATTCCCATCTTTGCCAAATGAATAAACTGACTTAAAATGATCATTTGGTTTAACGTTTTTCACATTAAAGGCAGAGTAAGTGATTTCTGGTAGCCAATGTTGATATTTGAAACTCCACATCACGGGTAGACACGCGCCTTATTGCTGATTGGCTACAAGTTTGTTTTGTGATTCGGCCCGAATCAGTTTTCTAAAGTGTTTTTGAAAAATCACTTACTCTGCCTTTAAGTTTTCAACACAAATCCAAAATGTTATTTGTACTCCCATCTCCATAGCTGTCATCATATCTTTTGCTTCATTGAATCTGTCTTCTGTTTCTGGAAGATTAGGTCTATTTAGACAGACGAATGTGACAAGCAGGTGGCTTTGGAGACAGCAGTGATTAGCAGAGAGAGTTGTGTAAGAGTCGCAGCCAGTGCCCTCGCTTGTGTCTGGCATTTGGGTAACCTTCACTGACAGGGTACAAAATGCCAGGATGCCAGTTTAGAAAATGTCATACCCATTAATGTTGTTTCATGCACATCTTGTAACCACAGACCACAGGAATAAAACTGCCACTACTATTCTGGGCTGTCTGCAGTTATATTTCACGTTGGATGTCCCATCTTGAGACAACACCAAATCTACATTATAAAAAAAGCTAGGGCACCAGAGCAGTTTGCACACAGCAAAACTAGTATTGTTAGGTAAAATTTGCTTATATATCTGCTATATAACCTCTATATAACATATTAACCTTCTAAACATGTCTGCAGGCCTTTAACCTTTTAAAACATGTCTTCTTAACAGAAGAGAAGCAGTAGTTACATGGACTGGAGTGACTGGGAGTTCAACTGTGCGTGTGCATGTGTGTGTGTGTGTGTGTGTGTTTGTGTGTATGTGTGCGTGTGTGTGTGTGTGTGTGTGTGTGTGTGTGTGTGTGTGTGTGTCGTGAGCAATGATGCAAGTGTAATGACGCTCTCGGCTGTCTGTCAGATCCCTCCTCAACAGAACAGCCTGCTAACTCCTCCCAGAACAAACATCCATCCATACTCTCAATCACTGAGCCATCCTCTCCATCCTCACACTCTCTAACTGCCTCCGTCTGAATGGAAAGGGAAAAAAAATATTCATATGAAATACTGGAAAGATTTAAGAAGAGTAGGGACATCTGATTCAACTCAAATGTGACTTTTTTTTTTAGTTCAGATTCAGTTCAGATACTATGATGCAAAGAGCCTCAGAAACAAAGCCAAGTTGCAATCTGTACAGAGTGCAGAAGCGCAGAACGCCCCGGGTTTCCCATACAGTATATTGCAGACATCAAACAAGCTTTCACAGACTTCATCAATATTTTAATGAGATTCCCAGCATGCTGCTTTCTCCCCTGCACTTTAGTGGATAGCACTCTTTCTGCATGGGTTTCTCTCCACTTTGTTTGAGACTTCTACATGACTTCTAGTTTCTCCTCTTGGAGAGACATCTCACCCTCAAATACCGTAACAGCAGTGGGATGTATAGACAAACAGTCTCTGTGAAGTTTTCTCTCATCTTTTTAGTGTGGTGTGGTTTTATACTTCATTTTTATGCACTTAATCACTGTGTGAGATCAGCTAATAGAGCAGATAAAATGATTCCCAAACAAGAACCCTGGCTGGCATGAGGGGCCTCTTGGCACAGAGCATGGGACCATTTATTATCCATGTGATACTACAACAACAGCGTTATAACAAAGTACTACCATGTTGTCCAGAAAGGCTGTCCAGCCTCATGACTGGAGATCTCAGGCTGAATATGTGGGAGAGTTTTAAAAGAATAGTTCAGCCCAAAAACTGCATTCATTAGAGAAGTAAAAATGTACTGTGATCATCTTTTCAATAAATCGGTTGATCTGGTTCACATAAATAGGACTGATCCCGTACTTCATTCAGTGTTTTAATGATCAGGTTGCAGTGGTAAATTATCACACAAAGATATTGTATTGATTCAGGTGGCTTATGAATATCATATTGACCAGTTTTATGATATGCCTATGGTGACTTAGCATCATTTTTGAAGCTTCAATCCCCATTCTATATACTTGCATGGAGAAACAAACAGTACATTTCATAAAATTTCTTTTTTTTGTGTGTGTGTGCCACAGAAGAAATAAAGTCATATGAGTTTGGAGTAAATCAAGTGTTTATTTTTATATGAACCCTTAAAAAAAACTCCATTTAGCTGTATGTAGATCATAAACATCAGTAACAAAAGCTAATTTTGTTGGCTTGATTTTCTGCATTGACAGAGTGAGTGGATACTAATGGCGACACATCTTTCATGCTGCATGAGTTGAGGTGTATGTACATTGAGCAAAGTTGCAAAATAAAATGCAGAGATCGTTAAAATGACCACTGAGTCTACGTGGCACAAATGTATGATTCACCTGGGAGCAGAATTCTGAGTCTGACCTCAGCAAGGAATGCAGGTGGTACTGCTGCAAGTAATTTAAATCCTTAAACATATATTTCCTGTGCTTATAATAATTTCCCATGAGCCACTGCATGTGTGAGTCTTAAAGTTTACATGGTAGAGCACAGCAAATTTAATAAAGTGCACAGGACAGTATGAAGAATTGACTGATGGAAATTCATGACAGCAAAAAAAATGTCAACTGTTTATAAAAATTGAAAAAAAAAAGGCATATACACTACTGCTTAAAACTACTATAACAATAAAACTATATAACTATAAGAACTACTGTTTTTTTTAAAGAAATTAACACTTTTATTCCACAAGGATGCATTAAATTGATCAAATGTGACCACAAAAATACCACAATTCTTCCAAATATTTCCACAAAAATTAAGCAGTACAACTGTTTTCAACATTAATAATAAGAAGAAAGCACCAAATGAGCATATTAGAATGACTGCACATGACGTGACACATGAAGGATCATGTGATACTGAAGACTAGAGTAATGACTGAAAATTCAACTTTACTGTTAAATGAATAAATTAATTTTAAAATATATTAAAACAGAAAACCATTATTTTAAATTACTATGATATTTCACAATATTACAGTTGTTACTGTATTTTGATCAAATAAATGCCGCTTTGGTGAGTTTAAGACACATTTGTGACCCTGCCTGTGAAAACCCATCTAAAGTCATTTTTTTTTGTGATTTACTGTTTTCTACAGAATTTCAGAAGTGTCACTTTCTGAGCTCAGTATTCAGGTAAAATAATAAACTTAGAAGAGACCATCTTAAATGAGATTACTTGAGTCGCTTTCTCTGAAGATGAAAATCTGAGAAGCAGGACACTTAAGCAGAAGTCTGTTAAATATCATTGCTGAGAAAATGATACATTAAATAGATGTAAATTGGGATTTTTCAAGTGTGACAGAAATATATCTGCAACGTCATAGCCAGATAAAACACTCCAATCTAAGTTAATAATTACTATATAGGCTATATAGGATGACCTCTGGTTGGACTCCTAGTTGATTCCTGTCCCAGCTGCATGTGTGAAGCCACAGTATTACAGCCTTCGATCTGACATTACAGGGCTAGTTTCAGACACACATCACTACATAACA